ATTGAGTGCGCAACAAGATAGCGAATAGAGTATAAAGTAGTGAATTGTGAAGTTATTCAACTTGGCTATAAGAATAGGAAAGCAGAACATTTTTAAGAGGTGTAACATTTGTAGGCTTTGGTGTCCAAAGAGATTTGAGTGTGCTCATAGAAAAATGTAGAAAGTCAACATGCAGTTGTGGGAAACAGATAAATACAAATGGCATGTTTTCCTTTATTGCATGGATATTGGGAGTACAAGAATAAGGAATTCCTTCAAAATCGTACAGGCTTTTGCTGAGACTATATCTGGACTACCGCATATAGTTTTGACCTCCATATTTACAAATAGACAGTACTGCGAGGAGGGTAGGGTAGTGATCATTGCCTAATTTGGTCCCTGGGCTGAGGAGGTTGTGCTATGATGAAGGGAGAAGTAAATAGGGTCTATATTCTTTGAGATTTATAAAACTGAGAGGGGATCTCACTGAGGCATAGAAGATTCGAAAGAGTCTTATAAGGTTAGATGCTTTGAGATTGTTTCCACTGGTCATGGAATTTGAAACACAGGGGCATGGTCTGAGGATAAAGTGCTCATCTTTTAGGGTGAGATAAAGTGAAATTACTCCACTCAAAGGACTGTGAATCTATTGAATTCTCTGCCTGAGAGGGTGTGGAGTCTCTAGCATTGAATATATTTAATGCTGGGAGTAACATATTTTTGATGTCTCAAGGAATCGAAGCATATGGGGAGTGGGCAGGAAAGTGGATTGAAGCCCAGTATCACCATGATCATATTGAATGGCAGAGCAGACTCAATAGCTCATACGGTCTGCTGTTCCTATTTCCTGTGTTCATATATCTTTTAAAGAATTGAATCACCCCCCCACCCCCACTTAGTTTACTACGTTAATCTTTAGTATACATTCCCCCTTTGCATGTATATCAAACAGTAGACTCACCAACTTGTTACTGTCTTCTGCTGGTGTCTTTTAATTAATTAATTATAAAGTTACTACTCTTGGATTATTTAAAACATTACATTTTTCTAATTTCTAACCCATGCTGTCTAAGAGCAGTTACCAACCAATCAGCTTACAACATTTCCTGGGATATCAGTGTTCACTTTTTTTTCAAACCTGGGGCCTTCCTGGACTCCCTCTGCCTCTCACTCAAAAAGGTAAGCTCTGTAGGCTTCACACCTCGGGCTGTATTTTATCAGTTCCCTGGTGTAGGGAGGTGATGGCCTAGTGGTATTGTCACTGGACTGTTAATCCAGAGATCTAAGTAATGTCCACGGGACCTGGGTTTGAATCCTGGAATTGGAATTCAATAAAAATCTGGAATTAAGAGTCTAACAATGACCATGAATTTACTGTTGATTGTTGGAAAAGCCCATCTGGGTCGCTGATGCATGTTAGGCAAGGAAGCTGCTATCCTTGCCTGGTCTGGCCTACATGTGACTCCAGACCCACAGCAATGTGGTTGACTCTGAACTGCCCTCTGGGCAATTAGGGATGGGCAATAAATGCTGGCATAGCCAGTGACACCCACGTCCCATGAATAAATAAAACAAAATATGGCTCCCTCAAGCCTACTGTGCTTTGCCTTTCTCCCAGAAGGCAAGGAAAATAAACCAGGAAATGCCAACTGCAGTTGATCAGAATATACAAAACAGATTATATGAACTTTAATTAGTGTGAATAAGTGAGGAGGTAGCTAAAGTAAGTGTTGGTCTCTTAATTGTAGAGGCAGCAGAAATTATCAAGGGAGATAGGAGATATGTTGATCAAATTTTGTTCACTGTAATAGGCACGAATTATATAACAGCAATAGAGGGTAAATTAGAGGCAAAAAAGAACATACGGTATTTAATATCAAATTAATGTCAGGAAGGATATTGGAGAAACTTAAGGGACTAAAAGCTATCAAATCCCTAGGTGTGTTTATGGAACAAGCTGCCAGAGGAAGTGGTGGAGGTGAGTACAAATACAACATTTAAAAGGTATCTGGTTGGATATGTGAATAAAAAGGGTTTACAGGGATATGGGCCAAATGCTGGCAAAAGGAACTAGGTCACATTGGGATGTCTGGTCAGCACGGATGAGTTGGATCGAAGGGTCTGTTTCTGTGGTGTATGACTTTATGACTTGATGACTTAGATTCTTGGGTTCTAAACCAGATAACTGCGAGGATGGTGAGTGCTCTGGTTTTGATATATCAACAATTCCTGCATTTTGCAAAGGTCCATAGGGACTGGAAGTTAACAAATGTAATACTGCTGTACTACTGAAGAAGCGAGAGAGAAAAGGGGCAACTTGCAGGTCAGGTAATCGAAAGCCAGTCATTGGGAAATACTGAAATTTGTTATTAAGTAAATCTTAAAAATGTATTTAGAAAATCAAAGAATGATCAGATCAAGCCAGTATGGTTTTCCAAAAGGGAGATTGTGTTTGCCAGATTTATTAGAGATTTTTGGGGATAGAAGGGTAGATAAAAGAGAGCCAATTGAAGTAGATTACTTATATTTCCAAACTCATTAAATTATCACAAAAGATTAGTGCACAAGAGAAGTGCTCATGGAGTTTGGGAGAATATATTAGCACTGATGGAGGTTTGGTTAATGGACAGAAAGCAGAGTGTAGACGTAGAAGGAGCATTTTCAAGTTGGCAAACTGTAACTATTGGAATGCCACAAGGATCAGTGCTGGTGTCTCAGCTATTTGCAAGCTATATTAATAATTTGGACAAAGAGACCAAGAGTTATCCAGGTTTGCTCCAGTACTGAGGAGGGCGTCAAGAGGCCACAAAGAAATATGGATGTGTTGACATGGGCCAAGGAGTGGCAGATGGAGTTTAATTTAGATAAATATGAGGTGCTGCATTTTGGAAAGGCAAATCAGGGCAGGACTTACACACTTAATGGTAAGGTCCTTGGGGGTGTTGCTGAACAAAGAGACCTTGGAGTGCAGTTTCATAGTTCCTTGAAAGTGGAGTCACAGGTAGATAGGATAGTGAAAAGGGTGTTTGGTATGCTTGCCTTTATTGATCAGCGCATTGAGTATAGGAGTTGGGAGATCATGTTGCAGCTGTACAGGACATTAGTTCAGCCACTTTTGGAATATTGCGTGCAATCCTGGTCTCCTCCTGCAGGAAGGATATTGGGAAACTAGAAAGAGTTCAGAAAAGATTTACAAGATGTTGCCAGGGATGGAGGGTTTGAGCTTTAGGGAGAAGCTGAAGAGGCTGGGGCTATTTTCCCTGGAGTGTCAGAGCTGAGCGGTGACCTTATAGAGGTTTATAAAATCATGAGGGGCATGGATAGGGTAAATAGACAAGGTCTTTTCCCTGGAGTGGGGAGTTCAGAACTAGAGGGCATATGTTTAAGGTGAGAGGGGAAAGGTTTAAAAGGGACCCAAGGGGCAACTTTTTCACACAGATGGTGGTGCATGTATGGAATGAAGTGGTGGAGGCTGGTACAATTACAACATGTAAAAGGCATCTGAATGGGTATATGAATAGGAAGGGTTTAGAGGGATATTTGCCAAATGCTGGCAAATGGGACCACATTTATTTAGGATATCTGGTCAGCATGGATGAGTTGAACTGAAGGGTCTGTTTCTGTGCTGTACGACACTATGACTCTAAGTGAGTAAGCAAGAAGGTTGCAGTTGGAGAATAGGGTGAGGAAGTGTGAAGATATTTGCTTTGGCATTAAAAATAGAAAGATTTTTTAAAAATCTATAAAACTTCCAAATATTGATGTTCAGTGAGACTTGGACATGCTTGTACAAGAAACACAGAAAGAAAGCATGCAGGTACAGCAAATAATTAGGAAGGCAGACAGCATGTTTGTCTTGTTTGGTAGGACATTGGAGTGCAAGAATAAGGAAGACTTGCTACAGTCGTATAGGGCTTTGGTGAGACCACATCTGGAGTATTGTGCTCAGCTTTGACTTCTATATTTAAGAAAGGATATATTTGTATTGGAGCCAGCATGTCTGCTCTGTTTCTGCTTCAAATTCCAGAGTCCCAACAGTGGTCACTGAAAAGTACTGTTTTGTCTAAAGCTATGGTTAGATCCTATGTGCAGTACTCTGTTTAGTTCTGGGAACTCACCTCAGTAAGTGCATGTTGGCCAGTTGTGGATCTAAAAGGGCTAAATTATAAAGACTTGTTGCAAAACTTCAGTTGCATTCCCTTGAATATTGACTGTTTTAGGGAAGGTAACTTATGCTGCAGTGATAGGGACACAATCTTTGGGTCAGAAGGTCTGTGTTTAACTTTCACCTATGCCCGAGGTACGTCATAATGTTTATGAACGGGTTGATTAAACATGTTTCGTTTTTTGGATTGTTGAAGGGTGATATCATTGAAAGAGAGAAACCTTTCTCATACAAAAATCTGTGTTTTCTTGTTTTAGTCAGGAGTATTAAGAGCTGTGGAACCAAAGTGTTTAAATTGACATAGACTGCAGATCATCTGAAATTTAATTTAATGGCCATCGACGTTCAGGTTCCTCTGTTCCTAACTATAACACTACTGGCTGTCTGATTTTTGACAACCCCTACCCTGTTAGCAAAGTAGTTCATAAACTGACTGACTATATAGAAAGTTGACACAAGCTTGAACTAGCAGAGAGTGGCCCTTCTGTCTCTCAGTGGGAGGTAGTCTCACCCCCAAGAGCTGCCAGGCAATCCTAGCAGTTCCAGCGGCACCCAAACTTGGTACTGGACACTGCTTGGATTGCAGACGGTACTGCTATGAAAAGAACAGTGGATCCCGGACTTTGCCTTGTGTGGACGTGATAGGCCAAAGGGCCGCCTTGCGTGCTGTAAAATCTCTGTGTCTGTCTATGAGGTAAGTCAGGAAGGGGGTGGAGGCCAGGAGGTGGGTGCAAAGCATGGTATCATCTTGGGAGGGTGCCCCACAACACATGAGGAGCCCTCCGAAGAGATATCCCCCTCCCTCCCCCATTCGTTCATGCCTTTTCTCATTTCACATGCCCTTCTGCTTCTGTAGCCTTGAAGAGATTACGTGGCGATGTTGACCTAACCACAGAAATGGATGAACTTCTGGAGGAACAAACTGCACTCAAAGGTCAAAATGCAAAAGGCCTGTGGGACTTGTTCCAAGACCCTTCTGTTCGCTGGCAGTTAATCATCACCTTGGTGCTGGGCAGTGCCATACAGTTATGTGGGAACGATGCTGTAAGTAGGAATGACATCCACTGGATTCTCCACACAGCTGGAAATGTAAAAAGAAATTGTTGCTGGTATAAACTTTTACTCGTATGTGTGGTGAGGATTTAATTTTTCCTTGCCACTGCGTTTCAAAATACATTTTGGTGGGAAGAATGAGGTGAAATTATATGAATTAAGTGACACAGTTTTTAAAGAGGGTGTAAGAGCAGAGAGACCTGGAGGTTCACTTACGCACATTGCTGAAGGTGGAAGGACATGTTGTGAAGGATGTTGAAAAATCATAATGGATCCTTCAGTTTATAAATATAGGCATAGAGTACAAAAGCAAGGAAATTGTTGTAAACCATTACTAATCACTAGTTAGGCCTAGGTTAGTGTCTTGTCCCTTTGTGGACCACATGCGTTACGAAGGATGTTAAGTCCTTGGGGATATATCAGAGAGGTATCAGAAATAAGGGATGTCAGTTATGCGGAGAGATTCGACTAAGATTGTTCTCCTTAGAGCGGGGAAGTTTAATGAGAAATTTAATAAAATACTCAGAACGTAGAATGTAGATAGAAGGGGGAAAAGAAAAGTGTTTCTGCGAGTCGGAGGATCAGTAACAGAGGATATAGCTGTAAAATAGTTGGCAAAAAAATTCCAAGGGAAATCGAGAACATTTTTACACAGCAGGTTGATATGATCTGAAACACAGGGCTAGAAAGGCTGCTGGAAGCATATTCAGTAGTAACCTTCAAACTGAAAGCACTTGAAAAGCAGCAATTCGCAGGGTTTCGGGATAACAGCACGTGATAAAAGATAGCAGAGATCCTGTGTATGTTATGGAACATTCATGGGGAAAGTAATCTGGGGCTCCGCTCATGCAGATAATGGCTCCGCTCATGCAGATAATGGCTCCACTCATGCAGATAATGGCTCCAGTGCAAACAGACTGACCATCTTTAATATCGCATGACCAACTCAGTTATTTAACTGTGCATATCTCAATGCAGTGGCGATACCAACGTCTGGTAAAGATCACGCTGACCATTGGGCACCAAGGAGTTTATTGACAGGGAAGCCAAAAGGTAGATCTAGTATGGAAGTTTATTTCCGAGACTTTGGGAGCACACCCTTTATCGGTCTTTCCAGCTATATCCTGTATTGTTCAAGTTACTGCACCTCATCAGCTATCCAATGAGTCGAAAATTATAGAGTTGAGTGGCTGCCCATTCTAGTGTCTTTGCATAGTTTACCAGGAAGTACTGCCTGTTGTCACATTGACGTTAATTTTGCTGTGACATTGCATCTAATTGTGTTTGCCATTGACAAGATTTATTAATAATTTATTTTCAGTGCCGTGGAGTTTGATTGACAAGAATTGACAATTAGCAGATTGTTGAAAAGATATTTACATGCAAGACAGTATTTGATGACAAGGATAGATTGTATCTATGTCTACAGAAAGGAGGATTGTGCCACATCATTAACAGACTGTTAGAATTATTTCTGCCATTAAAAAGGGAGATCAAGCAAGTCTAGGGATGTAGAGATAATTAAGCTCCATGCGAGTGGTTTATATTGGCATCTTTACGCAGATGCAGTAGAAAAACATCAAGAAACTGAAAGGGTAATGAAGAATAGGTGAACCTGATTTCAAAAGGAAAGGCTGCGTTTGGCCAATCTTATTTTTGTCTTCTGAAGAGGTAACAAACAATAGAAAAAGGTAGCACATTTCATACAATCACAATTTTACAGTGCAGTAAGAGGTCGTTTTGACCTTGTGCCAAATTTTGGCTTTTTCCCTATAATGCTGCACATTGTTTCAATTTAAATCATAATCCAAGAGCCTTTTGAATGCCTCAATTCAATCTGCCTCCACCACATGCCCAGGCAACACATTCCAAAAGCAGACAACTTGCTGTGTGACAACATATTTTCCTCACGTTTGCTTCTTTTAATTTTAAAAACATGCCCTTTGGTTCTCGAACCTTTTACACATGGGAACAGTTTCTCCAGATCCACTCTATCCAAACCCCTCATGACCTTGAAAACGTCTATCAGACATGCCCTCTCCAAGTAATATAGTCCCAAACTTCTCCAATCTGTCCTCGTAGCTGAAATTTCTCATCCTTGGAACCATTCTTGTAAATCTTTTCTGCACTCTTTCCAATGTATACACATCCTTCTTAATGTGTGATGCCCAGAACTGTATGCAGTGCTCCAGCTGAGGTCTAAGCAGCATCTTGTATAGGTTCAGCATAGTCTCCCTGCTCTTGTACTTTATGCATCTATTAAGGAAGCCTAGAATACCGTATGATTTATTAACAGCTCTCTGCCTGTCCTGCCACCTTTAATAACTTATGGACATGGGTTTCCTAGGTTGCTCTATTCCTGCACACCTTTTAGAATATTTTACCCTGCCTCTCCATGTTCTTTGTATTAAAGTATATCAGCGTTCACTTATCCAGATTGAACTTCATCAGCCACCTATCTGCCCTCTCCACCAATTTATCAATATTCTTTGAAGTTCTGCGCGGTTCCTTTAATTAATGAACCCCCTATCGCTATTGCTGCTCCTTTCTTCTTCCACCAAACTGGCTACAATATCAAAAGGAAAGAGTAGGTGCTAAAAAGTACTTACTCAGACTGGCCAGATGTGGGAATTCTGCTCCACGCGAATCACAATTGTGCAGAATTTACGTAAATAGCTTGTACTTGGGAATTAAAAGCACTGTATCAAAAACTGCACCAATACCAAAGTGGGGTTGTAGTTAATACTGAAGATAACTGTGACAAATTACAAGGCATTGTTAACAGTCTTGCAGAATGGCTGTTTAAACGGCAAATAAGTGACAGTATTAGGTCATGAGATGGTACCAATTGGGTAGGAGGAATCATGAGGCCACCCACTATGTAGGGAACAGGTATCTTTACATGATAGATGTGCTGGGGGAATCTAGAGGTACAGATTCATAAATAATCAAAAATGAAAACATAAGTTAACTAAACCATTAAAATGCTCACAATGCGTTGGGGCTTGTTTCTAGAAAAAGAGAATTCAAAACCAGAGAAATTATGTCAAACTTGTATAAACCTTGATTTGACCATGCAAAGTACTATGCAGAGTTCCCTACCCCAGTACAGCAACAAAGACACAAAAGTTCTGGAGTTGCTTTTAAAAAAAAGTTTACAAGGATCATATCACACAATGGGAATACCACCACCTGCAAGTTCCCCTCCATCCTGACATAGAAATATATTGCTGTTCCTTCACTGTCACTGGGTTAAAATCCTGGAACTCCCTCCCTAATGGCATTATGGGTCTACCAAATGGATTTTTAAAATATATATTCATTCCTGGGATGAGCATATCGCTGGCTAGGCAGCATTTACTGCCCATCCCTAATTGCCCAGAGGCAGTTAAGAGTCAGCCACATTGCTGTGGGTCTGGAGTCACATGTAGGCCAGACCAAGTAAGGGTGGCAGTTTCCTTCCTTAAAGGACATTAGTGAACCAGCTGGGTTTTTCCTAACAATTGACAACGGATTCATGGTCATCATTAGATTCTTATTTTCTTGTTATTGTTGAATTCAAATTCCACTGTTTGCCATGGCAGAATTCAAACCCAGGTCCCCAGAACATTATTGGCCTGCTGTGTTCCTCCAGCTGCACACTGTGTTATCTCTGACTCCAGCATCGGCAATTCTTACTATCCCCAGAACATTAGCTGGGTCTCTGGATTAGCAGTCCAGTGATAATACCACTGGGCCATTGCCTCCCCAGCAGCAGTTCCAGAAGGTAGCTCACCACTACCTTCACAATAAATGCTGACCCTGGCCAGCAATGCTCACACCCCACAAGTGATTTAATAAAAAAGAAAAATGAGGTCAGGATACAATTGAATGGGGGAGGTAATGGCTTCGTGGTTCTATTGCTAGACTGTTGATCCAGAGACCCCAGTGATGTTCTGAGGTCCTGGGTTTGAATCCCCCATGGCATGTGGTAAAATTTGAATTCAATAAAAATCAGAAATTGAGGCTCTAATGATGACCATGAAACCATTGTTGATTGTTGGAAAAACCCACCTGGTTCGCTAATTTTCTCAAAGGAAGGAAATCTGCCATCCTTACCTGGTCTGGCCTACATGAGACTCCAGACCCACTGCAATGTGTTTGACTTTTAACTGCCCTCTGGGCAATTAGAGATGGGCAATAAATGCTGGCCTAGCCAGTGATGCCCTCATCCCAGGAATGAATACAGATTTTTAAAAAGTCCATTTGGTAGACCCATAATGCCATTCTGTGAACCCTCCTCCTGTGAATGAATAAAAAAAAACTATCAGTAGAAACTGAATAAGCTGAGTCTTTTCTCTGAAGGTCTTTAAAACTGTGAAGGGATTTGATAGGGTAGATATGGAAATTGATGCTTTTACTTGTGGGAGAATCCAAAACTCCCAGATATAAATGTAAAATAATCATTAATGAATCCAAAAAACAGAATTTAAAAATAGTTTTTTTTCCACTCAGAGTGGTGATACTATGGATTTGCTAGAGTAGAGAGTAGTTAGAATGAATGAATTCTCTGAAACTATCTCTGAATAAAATGGAAAGAAGCAGTGCACTCTTAATGGTAAGGCAGATATTTCTACATTCTGCAAGTCAATGCCTGATTATGAACTCCAGCCCTGTGACTCACAAGAAACTGGATACTTCATGTACTGAATCCAGTTGGTGTGACCTTCCCCATCTCTCACTTCACACATTGTGCTATCTGTAAGATTTATGTGAGCTGTACAAGCTCTGCAATGTTGACAGATGAAGAAAACACTCAGCTATTTGCCATAGGTAACAAGGTGTACAGTTGGATGAATACAGCAGGCCAAGCAGCATCAGAGGAGCAGGAAAGCTGATTTTTCGGGCCTAGACCCTTCTTCAGAAACGTCAGCTTTCCTGTTGCTTTGATGCTGCTTGGCCTGCTGTGTTCATCCAGCTCTGCACCTTTGTTATCTGAGATTCTCCAGCATCTGCAGTTCCTACTATCTCTGAAGCCATTTGCCATTACTGTTTTTAACATTATCTAGGAGATGTTAAGAATAATGAGGCATAGATCTAAACTGCTATCAATCGAGAGAAAATTCCAACATTATTTAACAACTAACTGACCTTACTTTTCTAGTTTGGCTTCCCCATGGAGTAGCTGACAAATGACCTTGAAAGGAACAAGGTGCTTTGGCAGTTACATATTGACCCAGATTTTCCAGTGGGAGGATGGTTATTGCAGCAATACAGATTGGAGATGTGAATCAGGAAGCCCTGGCATACCTCACTGTATGGGTTTTGCCTTGGAACAGGAAACATGGATAATTAGCTGGTGCCTGGGAACATCCGAAAGGATTTCCAGTTCTGAATGAGAGTACTGCAATTCGCTCACCTGTTTAGTGACTCAGGAAGTGTTAAAGGGATTAAAGTATGCTCTAACTCCTGGTTAATGATAATACTGACTCACCCACACATCACTGACACTCCCAACCCTGCTCTTACCCCTGCCTTAACACACCTGTGATCTGAACCCACCTGACCACCAACTTCCCCCCGAACGACCACTCTGACATCCACCTCGACCAGACAACCTAGCCTCATTACGCTCCCATCCTGACCAAACAGCCCCACCTAATTTCTCGATTCTACTCTTCCCCACCAACCTGACTAATTCCCTGCACCTTAATCAGATCTAACCAAACAACTCGACTTCCCACCTGCTGTCTCAGTGACCTGTTCCTCCTACCCCCTGTCCCATTTGACATCTTGGCCACTGTCCCACCTGCAAATCTGTTACCCTAACCACCAGTTCCCTGCATAGTGCCACTTATCCAAATGTCATTCTATCCCTTAACCGTTTGTCTCATCCTCCAACCCCTGACCTCCCTCACTCACTCAAACCCATTCACTCAGAAGTGTGTAAAATATATACATCTCACCCTGTATATCATGAGGAATCACAGATCCTGTATATATGATAAAGCAGACTGTGTGTGCATTATATTAAACAATGGCTGTCACAGGAAATAGCAGACTGTATGCATTGTATCATATTGTACAGTGAACAGTAGGCCCGGTCTACATATGCATTCTATACATTTTATTGCGTGGTCACTATATTAGCAGGGCATGTGTATATTTTGTTGGACTCAGACTTTAATGCTGTTTTATTTTCCCACCAGATGTATTTCTACGCTGTCTATGTGTTTACTGCTGCAGGAATTCCCAATGAAAAGATCCAGTATGCTACAATTGGAACGGGGTGTTGTGAGTTCATCACTGCAGTAACAAGTGTAGGTACTGGTTTAATTTTGCTTTGCTTCATCATTGAGCAGTTCTTTCTTTAATTCATGCATTAATTTATTTGCTCATTAGCTTTTTTTGTTGCGAATTACAGTGTGCACAATGCCTCCAGAGTAAAATCATCTCCCTACCTTTCATTTTGGCTCATGATCAGTTTATGAAGCAATTTAGTGGTTCTCAAGGCTCCCTGTTCTTAGGATTGATAGGCATAATGCACAAGTTGAAGTGTGCTATTCACAGATTAATATACAGACTGAAGAATATTATGTCGTGTAGGTAGGGAGGCATTGCTTTCAGGACAATATGTTAGGTGAACTGAATTATGTCCAATATTGGGTTCTGTGCTCACAAGGTGTTATTTGCAAGATACTAACAGACTGGAGAGAGTTACGGGATAAGACAAAAAGTGTGAATATTTTGAGAATTAAACATTGAATCTAGGAGTAGACCATTCAGTCCTTCAAGCCTGCTCCACAATTCAACACACAACCTACCTGCACTCACGTACTGGTTAATACACAGACTGAAATGCTATACATAAGATAATGTAAACTTAGAAAAATTCTGTCGTAGTTTCCTGTATAGCAAGCTGCTCATTGTTAAGTTTTATTTTATAATAAATGTCTTTTTTCGTTGGTTATCGCACAAACTGCGACAGGTGAAAAGTCTCCCACTTTAGTACAATAAGTCCTTGAATAAGCAAAAATAATGTATTTAAACATTACACGAAGAATGTTGAACTATTTAGGGATAAAGCTGAGGCAAACCTAGGAGTATAAATATTGTGTTAAACATGTCCAACTACTGAAGAGCAGCAAGTGACTAAGCCAATAGAATTTTTAACCACACCCCTAAAATAATAAGAAATAAGACGAAAGGGTAATGTTCAAACTGTGCAGTGCTTAGGTCACACCACACCTTAATGTTGCTGATCACCAGGAAATGAAAAAGATGTTTAAATACTGGAAGCAAAAGTAAGAACCCCTGCTTGCACTTGTGTAGCCTGGTAGCCAGTACCAGTTGTTGTGAGTGATGAGAAAAGATGACGCTCCGTGGATTTTTATTCTGAAAATCTAAAAGGTGATCTTATAGGGATTTGCAAGATTGTTAAGGATGTAGAAAACATTAACCAGGAACAGTAAATTAAATTGATTCAGTGTTCAAACTGACAAAGTAATTTTATGAGTTTGAATGTTTCAGGAGAATTTTACAAGGCGATCAATGTGAGCATTCCCCTCTTCTAGCATTTTTAGTGGTGCAGCAGGTGTGAGAGAATCTTATTTTTCAATATTAAAAGCTGCTCTGGGGAATTGATAAACATTTGCAGTAGGTACTTCCTGTACTATATACAATGCTCCTACCAAAGAGGCAAAGACAGGTCAATCCACATCATATTGTTCCCTACCTCCAAGAATGCCCTCTGTAACCAGTTAGAGTCTGAGAACCAAGTTGCATTATTTGACACAACAATGGATGAACACTGCAGGCCAAGCAGCATCATAGGAGCAGGAAGGCTGACGTTTCGGGCCTAGACTCTTCATCAGAAAATGCATTATTTGCCAGCCATTTAATGTAAATAGAAGATCAAACCATTCACTGTAATAACATTTATCAAAAACACTTGAGCATGAATGATAAGCAGATTCATTGTCACAGACTTACAACTCTTCATTGCAATAATAACTGCTTAGAAATCTGCTATCATGACTGATGGCACAAAATTCTTTTTTGCACAGTGTTTGACATGGTGAATAAACTTTCATGTAGAGTAACAGGCAAAAGCCCCGGACTTGTTTAGGGAACAGTTGAATTTTACAATGGAGTGTCATGGATAGCTGCATCAGGACATGTTCCATTGTTTTAAAATTGTTTGGTGACCTTGTATTCTGTTACTGTCATAAGTAGTGAATGAATCACTGTATTGTGCCAGATCAAATTGTGCATGATTTACTGCATAGGTTCAGGTATGACCAGATTACTGACTAGACTATTGCACTGGTTCAGATTAGGCTAGGCTGTGAACTGGCTACTAAACTGTCCCAGGTCAACATGCACATGTTACTACACCACAATATTATACCGTGCTGGTGTGTGAATATACAGACTAGCACAGACTGTAACTTAACATTGAATGATATTATGACCTAGATTTTCATTATAATCAAAGCAAATACATGAATAATTTAGTCTACAGTGCAAACTGTAGAAGTATCCAAAAGGCGATACCAAATTGCAGATCACAGTAAACTCAGAATTGGGGCATCGGTACATCATTGAGTCATCGGGTCATACAGCATAGAAGTGCTTTGGCATATTTAGTTTGCATCAGTCAATCTACACTAATTCCACTTTCCAGCATTTGGCCCATAGCCTTGAATGTTATAACATTTCAAGTGCTCATTCGTGTACTTTTTAAAGGTTGTGAGGTGTCCTGCCTGTACTGTCCTCCAGCATGTGCATTCCAGATTCCCACCACCCTCTATGTGAAAGAACCTTTCCTCAAAGCCCTTCTAAACCCGCTGCCTTTCCCTTTAAAATTATGTCCCCTTATTGACCCTTTAACTAAGGGAAATAGCTACTTTCTAACCACCTTATCCATGCCCTTCATAATTTTATACACCTCAGTTAGGTCCCCCCTCAGCTTTCTCCACTAAAGAAAACAACCTGAGCTTATTCAGCTTCTCTTCATAGCTAAACTGCTCCATCCCAGGCAACATCCTGGTGAACCTCCTCTGCACCCTCTCCAGTACAATCACATCTTTGTTAAAATGTGGCATCTAGAACTGAACACAGTATTCCAGCTGCGGCTTAATCAAAGTTTTGTTCAGCTCCAACAAAAACCTTCCTGTTCTTATAATCTGTGCCACAGCTGATAAAAGACAAGTGTCCCTTATGCCTTCTTAACTGCTGTATTAACCTACCCTGCTGCCTTTGGGGATCTGAGGACATGAGCCCAAGATCTCTGTTTCTCTGGGCTTCCTAGTTTCCTTCCATTCATTGACTACTTCCTTGTCTTGTTACTTCTTCCAAAGTGCATCACCTCTCACTTTTCAGGGTTAAATTCCTTCTGCCATTGATCTGCCCACCTTACCAATCCTCATGTCATCCACAAGCTCCTCCTCCCCCACTTTCTCACCTGTATTGTTTTATATATAACACACACAATCAGAGACCCAACACACTCCCCTGTGCTATGTCACTGGTCACCAGGCCTCTCAAACAGCCTTCTACCACCACCCTCTGACTCCTACCACTAAGCCATTTTTGGATCCAACTGACCAAGTCACCTTGGATTCCATGTGCTTTTACCTTCTTTATCAGTCTCCTATGTTGTCAAACTTGTCAAAGGCTCTGCTGAAATTCATGTTAACCACGTCAACCGAACTACCTTAATCCACAGGGATTGGGTTTATGCTGGGCTCTATGATTTGCTATTATTTGGATAATGTGGTAGTTTTAACAGAGTTTGCAGCATATTATACCAGGCCTGTATGGTTTATTACCTTCACTGGAATAGGTTGTGGAAGAAGGCGTGAGTAATTCTGTGAATTTCCTTCTTCAGAACCTGTTTATTGATCGGATTGGTCGCAGAATGCTGATTATGGGAGGCTACAGTTTGATGGTTGGCTGTGGAATATTGTTCACCATCTCTCTGACGCTCCAGGTGAGTTGCAGCCTCTTTCGCACAGTTAAAAGAAACCGAGATGTTGACTTACCTGCTCCTCGGATGCTGTCTGACCTGCTGTGTCTTTCCAGCCTCACACCTATAGACTCTGGCTTCCAGCATCTGCAGCCCTTATTGTCCCCAAGGTTGGATTTAATGCATTTTCGGAATGTGATTTGCAATTTCAGGACAACTTTATGTTGTTTAAGACAGGCTCTTGTTCCAGATTGTGTTTTCACTAATGGAAACAGTCTGCTGAAATGGAGTGGTTTTCAAAATTCTCAAATGTCTTAAGGCTGTACAGGACATGGGTGAGGCCACTTTTGGAGTACAGTGTGCAGTTCTGGTCACCCTGCTATAGGAAGGACATTATTAAAATGGAGAGGGTGCAGAAAAGATTTATCTGGACTGGGGGGTTTGAGTTATAAAAATTGACTGGATAGGCTAGGATGTTTTTCCTGGAGTGTAGAAAGTTGAAGGGTGACCTTATAGAGATTTATGGTATAGATAAGGTGAATAGCAAAGGCCTTTTCCCAAGGGTGGGGGAGTTCAAAATTAGAGGGCATATTTTTAAGGTGAGAGGAGACAGGTTTAACATACCTGAGGTGTTTCTCATTCACACAGAGAGTGATTCGTATGTGGAATGAACTGCTAGAGGAAGTGGTAGATGTAGGTATAGTTACAGCTTTTAAAAGACATTTAGATAGGTTCATGAGTAGAGGGATATGGGCCAAATGCTGGCAAATGGGACTATTTAGTTTGGTCAGCATGGACGAGTTGGACCGAAGAGTCTGTTTCTGTGCTGTATAACTCTATGATTCCCAGTACAAGATGTTTTCAGTTGTTAAGTTACAGGAATGATGTCGAAACAAGCATGTAACATGCAATTTATAACTCAGCTCAGCTTCTGCCCTCTGGTGTCCAGCATTACATTTTGCACGTTCAATTTCTGGTTGATTTTCAGATTGACACAATGATGACCAGTGTCAAGTTTCTTTAAAGGACTCATGTTTGCTGACAGGGAAGCTCTCTCCTCATGAGGAAATCCAATGAATGCTTTTATTCCTCCCACCAAGTCAGTGTGAGGAATAAATAAACGTGTGCAGAAAGTGCTTTATACTGAAAGCTTTTGTCACTTTTTTGAGGAGCCAAGTAGATATCGTCTAAGGAGTTATTGTCATTTTGAACAGAATAAACTCCTGTAGTACCGGTTCAGTTCCATCAGGTCTCAGTAACCTATACGTGCTTAGTTGAAGTTTTCTACCAATTCCCACTACTGTCTGATCTTGGTAAGTGATCTTTTCAAAGTTTCTGAACGTGGTGTTATCCCCTCTCTTTCTCATAATAGATGAAGGACCTAAGTGTAATGTATCCAAGTGGGAAAGTAAATTGTGAGCAGAATGTACAGAGACTCCAAAGGAATATAGATAGTTGAAGTGAATGAGGAAGAATACAGCAGATGATGTATAATGTCGAGAAATATTAAGTTAGCCCCTTTGGTAGGAAAAATATAAAGGCAGATAGTTTGTCAAAGGTGAGAAACTGTGAAAGATTTGTATTCTTAGGGACCTGTGTGACCATATATACCAATTATATAAGGTTATCAAGCAGGTATACTTAGCAATTAGGAAAGTCAATGGTTTGTTAATGTTTTTAGACATAGACATAGACATAGACATAGACATAGACATAGACATAGACATAGACCAGTACAGCACAGTACAGGCCCTTCGGCCCATGATGTTGTGCTGAACTTTTACCCTAAACCTAAGGTCTATCTAACCTCCACCCCTACCTTATACTATCATCCATATGCCTGTCTAATAGCCGCTTAAATGCCCCTAATGAGGCCAACTCTATTACCCTTTCTGGCAATGCATTCCACGCCCCTACCACTCTCTGAGTAAAGAACCTACCTCTGACGCCTCCCCTATATCTACCTCCACTCACTTTAAAACTATGCTCCCTCGTAATAGCTACCTCCACCCTAGGAAAAAGTCTCTCGCTGTCCACTCTATCTATACCTCTGATCATTTTGTACACCTCTATCAAGTCACCTCTCATCCTTCGTCGTTCTAAAGAGAAAAGCCCTAGCTCTCTCAACCTTTCCTCGTAAGACCTTCCCTCCATTCCAGGCAACATCCTGGTAAATCTCCTCTGCACTTTTTCCAACGTTTCCACATCTTTCCTGTAATGAGGCGACCAGAACTGGACACAATACTCCAGATGTGGCCAAACCAGGGTTTTGTTTAGCTGGAGCATAACTTCACCGATCTTAAACTCAATCGCTCTATTACCGAGCTGACTCTAATGTTAAGATAACTTGGTGGCAGAGGCTTCCCCATTTGGGTCTGAACGCGATGTGTGAGGAGACCAAACACATCCAAGTTCAGAATACAGGCTTCTAACACGCAGAATCCCTACAGTGTGGAATGCTGGCCATTCACCCCTTCACAACCTTTCCTCGTAAGACCTACCCTCCATTCCAGGCAACATCCTGGTAAATCTCCTCTGCACCTTTTTCCAATGCTTCCACATCTTTCCTGTAATGAGGTGACCAGAACTGGACACAATACTCCAGATGTGGCCGAACCAGGCTTTTGTTTTTTTTACAAAGGGTTGAATTGTATTGTTTACAGTTTAGATCTCCCTGTCCAAGGAAAGGAAACTTGCCTGAGAGGGAGGACAGTGAAGGTTCACTATATTGATTCTGAGAATGCAGACGTTGATCTTTGAGGAGCGGTTGAGTAGACTAGGCCTAGAGTTTAGAAGAATGAGAGGTGATCTCACTGAGTCATATAAAATTCTGAAAGGGCTTTCCGGGGTATATGCAGAGTAGTTGTTTCCTCTAGCTCGGCAGTCTAGAGCTAAGCATTACAACCTAAGTAGTAAGGGTCAACTATTTAGGACTGACATGAAACATTTCTTCATTCAGAGGGCTTTGATATTTGGAATTCGCTACCACAGAGTTATGGATGCTGAGTATCTTCAAGACTGAGATCAATGGATTTTTAGAATCCAGGGAATTAGAAAAGTGGGAATAATGTGGGAAGGGGTGTTGAGCTAAAGGTTAACTATGATTTTATTGAACGATACAGCAGCCTTGGAGGGTAGAGTGTCCAACTCCAGCTCATATTTCTTGTGTTTATATGTAACTTGATGTTAGAACCCTTTCAATTAGGCTTTCATTCCTGCCACAGCACTGAAATTGCCCTAACATCAAAGTAGCAAAAAGCATTCTATACAATTAGAACAATTTTATGTCCTCTCTATCCTTCTCTTTCTTGTCCTGTTTGCCACCTCTGATTTGTTGATAACACCATCCTTCTCCAACACCTCTCCTGTGTTGAATATCTCAGTGTACTGCCTTTGCACAGGCTCAGTCTTACTTATTTGATTGTAGCCAGAACATTTTCAGAAATGGGTACTGTCTCTGCCACTCCATACCACTACTCTCTCCCAAATTAATGCTGGAGTCTCCTGCTTATCTAGACTTTGCATTGTCTTATGTCCTGTCTTCATGCTGTCTCTTAGCCATATAATTCAAGGAGATTTATCAGTAACTGCCCACTATTTACCTCCGTCACCACCTACTCTACTATTATGATCTAGTGGCCTGAGTTGTTATTAGTTGTAAAAAAAGAATTGGCTTAACTGTAACTTTGTTGAAATACTTAACAAAATAGTATGTTATTTAACTACTACTCATTAACTGTTCCAGTATAGCAGCATCTTATAAACACGCTTGGCCAAGGCAAATAGAAAGGAAAACTCAGAAACACGAACCCAGCACTAAAGACAGAACACAAGCTTTTGCAACAACAAAGAGAACTGGGTCTTCTTCCAAACTTCTAGCTTCACCAGCTGAAAGCAAAACCTGGAAAAATGGGGTCTGTGTGAGCCTGTATCCACCCAATCATGCTTCTTTAGTCTACTTTCTAAATAAAAACAATAGATGGTTACTTTGCTGTGCATGGAGCAGCCAGCTTGGCAGCAGGTTTACAGCATTTGCTTTCAATAGGAACAGGACAGAACAAATCCCTCTTAAAGGCACATCTAAGAACATCTAGTGCTGTATCCCTAGTATGACTCAGTTCAACTCATTTCCAAAAGAGAGACATTAAGGGTCAATGTTTTGGGCCCAGTGAACCTTCTTCACTGCGTCCCTTGTGACCCTTGATGCCATGTCAGTCAAATGCTGTGCTGACGTCGGGAGCAGTCATTGTCACCTCCCCTCTAGACTTCAGCTCTTTTTTTTGGACCAAGTCTGTAATGAGATGAGTGACCCTGGAGATACTCAAACTAAGCTTCACTGAGGAGGTGATTGCAGAGCCTGTAACACTTGATAGCACTGTCAATGACATATCCATCACTTTGCTGATGATCCCCAGCCGTACCCAAAGAGGGCACCATCTGTATATCAGTCTCGCCTATGAATGAAAGCAATTTGCATATACTGGCCAGGTGAGGATTTTGGGTCAGGGATCATTGCAGAGCAATCCAGAGTGGGAATCTGACCCATCAGTGTTGAAGCTAAATTGTAGCTTAGCACAGTGGGGGCCAATCAGCTCCATTGGCCAAACAGTTGGTTAGTGATTCGGACTGACACCAACAGTTCAATTCCTCTTGTGGCTGATGTCACCATGAAGGCCCCACTTCTCAGTCTTGCTGCTCGTTTGTGGTGACCCTCAGGTTAAACCCACCGCCCATCGTCTCTCTCTCTCTCTCTTCTGCCACCACCGAGGTTAAACAAACTCCGATCTGGAGCAGGTTTCTGTGGCTCAATGTCCCCCCTTGAAAGAAGCATTCACTGAGTCAATGGAGCTCTCTGGGCCAAGTCACTGCTGAAATATAGCTCTTTTGTTGAATTGTTGAAACAAATAAATCCAACCATTAATTATAAATGAGATGGATATATCTTGCAAGTTTTGCTTGACACTGTCTGTCTTCATTTAGGACAAGGTCAGCTGGATGTCGTACCTGAGCATGATTTGCATCTTTGCTTCCATCTTAAGTTTCGGAATTGGACCAGGTAAGTCTTTGCATTCCAATCACACGAAGGGAAAAGCTCTAAATGTTGTGGTTATACAACAGGTCAGTCGACATTTGCAGGGGAGAAAGAACTATAAATTAACACCAGAGGCTGAACTGTGGCACAGTGGTTAGCACAGCTGCCTCACAGCAGCAGGGACCTGGGTTCAATTCCACCCTCGGGCAACTGTCTGTGTGGAGTTTGCACATTCTCCCTGTGTCTGTGTGGGTTTCCTCCAGGTACCCCTGTTTCCTCCCACAGCCCAAAGGTGTGCAGGTTAGGTGGATTGGCCATGCTAAATTGCCCATAGTGTTCAGGGATGTGTAAATTAGGTGGGTTATAGGGGGAAGGGTCTGGGTGGGATGCTCCAAGGGTCGGTGTGGACTTGTTGGGTCGAAGGGCCTGTTTCCACACTGTAGGGATTCTATGTTCTATGATTCTATGTGCAGGTTTGGTGGATTCCTTGGGAAATACAGGGATAGGAGAGGGGGTGGGTCTGGGTGAGGTGATCTTCAGAGGGTCAGTGTGGACTCAATGGGCTGAATGTCCTGCTTCCACACTGCAGGGATTCTATGATTTCATGTGAAAGCCCAAACAGGTAATTATACATATTTAGAAGGATCAGAGCCAAAATAAAATGAATTAGAACAATACATAACTGTAGTCACAGAGAGGAAGTTAATAGGTTTGATGCTAAGCAGTCTGCATGGCAGAATTCGACATTAAACCTTTGACCTACAGATTTGGGAGCTGTACTCTATTACCTCGTTCTGAAATCTGTCAGTCTCTTCATACAGAAATGCCAAAAATACACATCAGGAATCCCATAGAAGGTGGCTATCTTAGCAGGTGATAGGGCCACAGTTTGGCACTTCTGTGACCTGATATGCATTCTCATCAAGTCGTGAAAACAAACCACTTGAAGTGGTAAGTAGTAATGTGTGGAAAATCACGAGGGGTTACTGGGACCCTTTTTTATTGGTGTTCCTGCTTTCAGATTATTTTACACCCTGGTGCTTTGTTGTGTAGCTGTTATAATAACTGTAATGTGTGAGGAGTGTGTTCCCTGCTGTTGATTTGCTCTTGAAGAATGTCTGGTTATTTCCAACACTGACCTGGGGGAGAAACCAGAAAGCAGTAATATTTGGAAATGAATGTTCTCTATTCTGAAGCATACATGTTGGCCTAGTATGTCTTATTCATCAGTTTTACTGGTCTTTTTTTCCTTCTGGGAAATTTGCTTGTACAATCCAACTTCTAAATCTATTGTAAACTCTTTACCCTTAGCCGGAGTTACTGGAGTCATACCAATGGAGATCTTTGACCAAACTGCACGGCCTGCAGCCTACATGATCAATGGTTCCCTGCTCTGGATAAACTTTATTATTGTTGGGATGACTTTCCCATTTATTGTTGTAAGTATTTTGAGCACGAGCTAAATATAAGTTAATATTGTCATAAGTTGTCCTGTTGCTGGTGAATTACTTCCTGATGACTGTGACATTGTTGTGTTCTGTTTGTCTTTGGACTCCTGTATTGTAGCGAATTGTTCCCAATTTAAAAGAAAACAATTTATCCTACCCCCGTCTCTGTTCTCATGGTCCCCCTGTAGAGTAATATAGCATGGTGGCAGAGGGAATCTATTGCTGGGCCTCTGCTGCTCTTCACTCTACAACTGGGAGTTATACAGAAGCAGCCTGGAGTACTTGGTTGGTAATTTCTCTTTGCTGTCTGTTAAGTTTGCTTTAGCTCACCTCTTTCCTCCTTAGCAGGACGGTGGTTCGGTGGTTGGCACTGCTGTCTCACAGCACCAGGGATCAAAGTTTGATTCCACCCTCGGGCGACTGTGTGTGTGGAGTTTGCATGTTCTCTCCATGTCTGCATGGGTTTGCTCCGGTTTCCTCCCCTGGTGGCCAGGGATGTGCAGGCTAGGTGGATTAGCCATGGGAAACGCAGGGATATAGGGATAGGGTGGGGGTGTGTAGATCTGGGAAAAATGTTGTTTGGAGGGTTGGTGTGGACTCGATGGGCTGAATGGCCTGCTCCCACACTGTAGGGATTGTATGATCCTACTTAGACAGTGCAGAAGGATAAACTGAAAGCCCCTCCTTTCTTCTCTTTTCTCTCTGTTGTCAGAGTGATAAATTGTGATAAGGCTGATGCTATATCAAATCTTTTCCTAATTTGTATAGGTTATTGGGGATAGATGGGAATGTGGAATTTGGAACACCTACCGACTGACCATGATCTTATTGATGGCGGATCAGGCTTGAAGAGCCAAGTGACCTACTCCTGTTCCTGACTCATATCTGTTCCCAAATCTCCCATAGTGTGCAGCAGACTTTTATGGCATTAAGCATGTATTACTTATTCACACACCCACCCCTGAAAGGTCTACACTTTTAACCTTATATCCCACACCCAGGAAAGATACAATTCAGAATTGAAGAAGAATTACACCAGACTCAAACCGTTAACTTTGTTCCTGTTCCTTTTTATTTCTACCCCCCCACCCCACCCTTTGTTTCCCCATACCCTGATTGTGAAGTTGCATTTAAAAATGACCCCCAGAGTAGGTTATCTTAGGGTTTATTAAGACATTCAAACCCTGGGGTGGAATAGTTCACAGTACACACAAGCCCGCATGGGAAAGGGAAGGAAGGAAGTTACAATTATAAATTATTTAAAAATCAAAGATATTGACATTCGTTCATACATGTGAATTACAGTGCGGTTACGTCAATATCCAGTGAAGTTTTATAGTTAGCTGAGTCTGGCAGAATTCTGTTTAATAGAAGCTTGAATGCAGGTGGATTGCTGTTGAAAGCACAACAATATAATTCTTCTGGTCTAGTAAATGAGTTCATCCCTGGAATTCTGTCTTAGGGTAGAAAGCAGATTAAGGAAAGAAGTCAGAGCCGCTTCAGTTATGTCTCTGGGGCTCCAGGTTGGGTCATTGTGGTAAACTGGATAGATTGATACATGTGGCTAAAAGCCATTGTATGTTTTCCTTTACTTTGTCCTAGACTGGCTGAGTTGGATATGCTGTCTGTGTAGGGTTGCGTGGAATGTCTATAGCATGCAAGGTATATGGCATTTCAGGAGGATGATGTCAACATTTGTCCCCATCTTAGTGGCACTGGCTGAGAAATAAATGTTGGCTAGGGTACAGAGTTTCTTTCCTCAATTACAAACAACGTTCTGGGACTTTTCTTTTGATGATACCTCTGTTGAACACTCCATTTGAAAGATAACACCTCTGATAAGTGCAGCACCCTCTCAGCACTGCAGTGCAGTGATAGCCTAGATGATGAGCTTAATTGTCTGGAAGAGATGGATTCTGATTTCGAGGCAAGATCTGCCTATTCATGAAGCCGAGGAGGAGAACTTTTGCAAAGGAGATGGGCTAGGGGGAAAAAATAGAGATTGCTGGAAAAGCTCAGCAGGTCTGGCAGGATCAGTGGATAGAAATCACAGTTAATGTTGCAGGTTGAATGACCCTCAGAACTGAAAATGTCGTTTTATCTGCAGAAGATAGGGTGGGGGGAGGGGTGAGGAGTGAAAGGTAAGAGGGGATAGAGCCCAAAGAGAGAGAAGAACATCGGACAGACAAAGGAGTGGATAATGATCTGGCTCAGAGGGTGCATAGCTATTAATGGAGACTGTTAGTAGCTAACAATGGGTGGTGTGTAATGGCAGAGGTGTGATTACAGGGCCTGTTTGTAAGGCTTGGAGTATGGACATGGGAGAGCTCAAACCCTAAACTTGTTGAATTCAATATTGAGTCCAGAAGGCTGCAGGGTCCCCCCAAGCGGAAAATGAGGTGTTGTTCTTCCAACTTGTGCTGAGCTTCACTGGAGCACTGCAGCAAGCCTAAGACAGAGGTGTTGGCCAGGGAACAGGGTGGTGTGTTGAAGTGCTAGGCAATTAGAAACTCAGGGTCTTCTTTGCGAACAGAACGCGAGTGTTCTGCGAAACGGTCACCCAGTCTATGCTTTGTTTTCCCAATGTAGAGGAGACTACCTTGGGAGCAGCGAATGCAGTAGACTAGATTGTGAGAAGTGCAGGTAAAGCGCTGCTTCACCTGGAAGGTATGTTTGGGCCCTTGGATACTGGGGAGGGAGGAGGTGAATGGACAGATGTTACACCTTCAGCAGTTGCAGGGGAAGGTGCTGTGAGTCTGTGTGGGGATGGTGGTGTTAGGGGTGAAGGAAAAGTGGACCAGGGTGTCCCAGAGGGAATGGTCCCCATGGAAGACGGACAAGGGAGGGGAGTAGGTGTCTGGTGGTGGCATCCCACTGGAGATGGTGAAAGTGGCAGCGAATGATCTTCTGGATACAGATACTGGTGGAATGGTAGGTGAGGACAAGGTGAGCCCTATTGCTGCTGCAAGAGGGAAGAGAAGAGGTGAGGGTTGAAGTGTGGGACATGGGTTGGACCCAGCTGTCAACCACAATGCTTGGGAATCTTTGGCTGAGGAAGAAGATGGACATTTCATAGGCTTCCATATCGAAGTTGGCATCATAGGAACAGATGGCTTTACTCCTTATGCCCTCCCCCGACCCTATCTTCTGCGTATAAACTGACAATTTCCGAGCTACCATCTGTCCTGAGGAAGGTCACTTGACCTGCAACATTAACTCTGATTTCTGTCCACAGATGTTGCCAGACCTGCTGAGCTTTTCCAGCAATTTCTGTCTTTGTCTCTTATTTACAACATTGGCAGTTCTTTCGGTTTTTGTGGGATAGGGAAACTTGAGGAAAGGAAAATTTGGGAAATGATAGACTGACTTTATCCTTTATCCTGCCTGATTGCATTCATCATTTTATCTACCTTTCAGGAGGGGCTGGGCAGTTTCTGTTATGTGCCATTCATTTGCCTTAGCTTCCTTGCTGCTTTGTTCATCGGAATCTTCCTGCCAGAAACAAAAGGAAAGACTTTTCTGGAAATTTCTGAGGAGTTCTACAGGTGGAATTTCAAGGAGCCAGTGAGGGAAAGTTGTGACTTGTGAAAATATTGTAATTGTGTACGATGCCTGTCTTTGCATGATTTCACTTGTGGTAGCTAGTTATCCTATTTATTGTCCATTTCACTGGGTTCAGAATTTATGGAAGATGTGGGTTTATATTGCATGTTCATGCTAATACCAAACCTTTGTATCCTGTCCTTTACTTTGGACCCTCGGGGGAGAATTTTAACCTCCTCATGCCCAAAATAAAAACAAAATCAGCCTATTGGGTTGAATGGGGAGATTAAATACTTAAAAACCAGATTACTGACCCACTCTGCCCATTTCCAGCTTTAACTGAGGCATGATGTGGGTTGGAGATTAATCTGTTTCTTGAAGGGGGATTAGTATTATAAATATAACAATTAGGCTGTGAGCTGAATTCTCTCAGTTTCTTGAATGTGACTGTTCTTAACAAGACAAGTATTTGGCAGGTCCAGGAGGTCTGTGCCTTTTTACCTACTTCCTGGAACCAACCCATACCTTCCTGAGGATCCCCTGTGATCAGCCCCAGGTGAACTCAAGCCTGACCTGGACCTACTAAGTCGTGAAGCCTTCAGTTTTCGGTTTCCTATCAGACTGGGAGCCAAAACTGGCAATCAGTTGGCTTTTGAACAATGAATTAACCAGATTTTGCACTCAATAACACTCCACAGCATCTGGCATCTGGGCTACCCGTGGCATGCTGAGTCACAGGCATCCTGCAGGTCAGGTTAGGAAATGGCCAAGCTTTGATTATGTTCTCTGTTCTGGCCTCCTTTATATCCAGTCGATCCCAACCTATTTGAAACGTAACCACCTGTATTCGTTATGTTTTGCTATTCATACAGTGACTTCTCGTTCCATAAGGTAATATATTTTTTGAAAAAAAACTTGTTTCCTTCATCAAATCCTCTCTGACCTTGACCATCTATCTGAGTAACCCTTACTTTCTATCTTTAAGCCCATTTGTATATATTCCTAGTCTTTGTGCTAACATTGAAGCCAGTATTCTCCAGCAATTTCTGTTTTTGTTTCAGATTTACAGAATCCACAGTTCTTTTTTGTTATTGAAGCCAATGTCTTGCTCTCCATTTCTCTTCCTGCCCCCAAAGATGTTTTGACCAAGCTTATAGCTATCTCTCCTAAAACTACCTAATGATGTCTCAATGACATCCTTTCATTGATTTTAGTTTCTCTTTTATAATCTGTTGGCATGCTTTGTACATTAAAGACACTATACAAATGCAAGTTGAGGTGCAACTTTTTAATGCACTTGTTAGACCCCTATAGAGTTACTGTTTGTTGATCTGTATGCCTCACTGCAAAAAAAAAATTAATCCTGTGCTGAAAATAGCATAAAGAACAAAAAGACAGTTCCCATGAACAACGGGAAAGAACTATGAGGGAAAGGTTAAATATGCTTTAAGTATTACAGTCCTTAAAAGAGGGACAAAATGAGAGTCCTCATTGATGTTTAGAATTTTAAGTGCAATACAGAAAAGAGAAATAGTGGGTTTAAGCCAAAACATTTAGGAAAATCACATAAAACAGTGACAGTTATAAAGGAATAAGAGCATGAAGGATACAATTGATCTGAGATTGAGAAAATCAGTCCATGAATTAGTGAGAAATTTGAGATACAGGAGGAAAATAGATACCAAAAATATGAGTGTTTTGGAAGGCAGATTGCATCATGACAATCCAAATCTCAATGTCCAGTGTGAGAATTGATCTTCTCCAAAGGCATCAACACAAAGAGAACGTGAATCTGCTTAACAATATTATGACAATATAAAACATAGTTGACTAAGTGAAAATAATAGTATTTATCACATGATGCACTTAAACAAACACTATTCTCATGCCTACCTCAGACTGAGTGCAAAATCACTGAACCAGAAATTACAGTCAATACTCTTTATAATGCTGCTTCCTGGGCAAATTAGTGAATGAAATTATATTACTTCATGCACCTATTTTTTAAGCAACCTGTACAGGGATGTTGGACATAAACCCAGGCCTCATGGTCCGGGGTAGGGACACTACCACTGCACCACAAGAGGGTCCTGCACCTTTCGATGTTGAAGATGTACTCGTATCCAAAGGCTTCAACAGTGCCATCTACTCAGGTAATATCAGGCAGATTCCTGAATAGAGTTTGAAGGGCCACATACATCCATCTGTGTTCTGAATGTATACGTATATATTATTAAGTACCGATGTGCTAATTGCTCAAGCAGGCAATGTTCAAATAGAAATTAAGTTGTTCAACAAATTAGTATATTTGGTGTACTGTGCACTGTTACTGTTGTATATTTTATAAACAATATTGTGATTTATGTACTGAGATATTTATTTGAAGAAATAAATCACAATTTATCTGCAAAGTATTTTGAAATTACTGCTTGCAGCCTGTTTTAAAATTTCCAATGTCCCTTATGGCTCTCAATCTGAGCAGGACTATTTCTGCTGTATCCCCCAGGGGGCACTGTTCACACAAGTCTCTGCCTTTCACACCTACTCCAGCTTTCTAATGTCTTTGCCCTTACCCAGAGTCACTCTCTCTAAATATGTACAAGCACCCACCAAGAAAGTGTATCTGAATTTGAGAGATTGGGAGGCGTCGATGTCTTTGATCTTAAGTCATCAAAAGCCACTATGCAGATGCAGCAAGCAATTAGGAAGACAAATGGTATATTGGCCGAAACAAGTAAAAAGATTTGAGTACAGGAGTAAAGATAGAATCTTGGTGAGACCACACTGGAGAATTGTGTGCAGCTTTAGTCCCCTTGACTGTATATACTTGCTCCCAGAAGGTGCAGCAGGGATTCACCAGATTATTTCCTGGGATGGTAGGACTGTCTTCTGAGGATTAAGAAACTGGCCTTGACTTTGGTAGAGTTTAGAAGAAGGAGAGGTGATTTCATTTAAACTTCTAAAACTCTTAAAGCACAAGGCAGGATAGATACAGAAAGGAGTTTCTCCTATTTGGGAGATCTAAAACCAGGGGACGCAGCCTCACAATAAGGGACAAGCCCATTTAGGACTGGGATGAGGAGGAATTCCCTCTGGATCTTGGGAATTCTATCCCTAGAGGGCTGCAGATGCTCAATCAATGAGTATTTACAAGTCAGAGAAAAATAAATGTTTATGGATTGATAGATATACATCCAGGAAAATGGGAGATCACAGGAAAATTGCATCCACTTAGAATATCAATCATTATTTAGAATCTTTAGTCCTCCAGTGCCTTCAATTTAGAACGTTCATCTTCAGAATTAAATCCCTTCATGGTTTCTATCCTTCCTACCTCTCTTGGTCTTTACACACATTATTCAGTCACCAATTGATATTTTGTGTAGGGGTATGTACACTATTAATGAAGTCTCCTCATATTTCTGATGAGTTTAGAAATTATATGGCGTGCCAAGGAGTAAGGGCTATTGCATCTCTCTCTACATTCCTGATAGTAATGTTGTACCAGCCAGTTCATTACAATAATACCTGCATTTAATGATCTGCTGATTTTCCAGTGAGCTGCCTGTAACAAAGAATATGATCGTCCCAAATAACGAACAATGAAAGAGATATTTTAACAAGTACGGCACCAATAAAATGTGTTCTTTTCAAACAATCGTCCGACCTGTGGAATCTTAAAAGCTGTCGTGTAATCTCACTCTTGACAGTCTAACCCATGGTTAAATATTGCAGTTATGTACTTTTACTTCATTCAATGTGGGTATCGCTGGCTGGGCAGCATTTGTTGCTTTTCCCTAGTTGCCCTTGAGAAGATGGTGGTGAGCTGCCTTCTTGAACCATTGCAGTCCATATGCTGTAGGTTGACCCACAATGCCCTTAGGGACAGTATTCCAGAATTTTGACCCAGCAGCAGTGAAGGAACAACGATATATTTCCAAGCCAGGATAGTGAGTGTCTTGGAGGGGAACTTGCGGGTGATGGTGTTCCCACATATCTGCTGCTCTTGTCCTTCCAGACAGAAGTGGTCGTGGGTTTCGATGATGCTGTCTGAGGATCTTTGGTGAATTTTTGTAGTGCATCTTGTAGGTAGTATACACTGCTGTTACTGAGCATCAGGGGTTGAGGGAGTGGATTCTTGTGGATGTGGTGCCAATTAAGTGGGCTGTTTTGTCTTGGATGTCGTGTGTTTATCTGGTGAGACCAGTTGAGTTTTTGGTCGATGGTAACCCCCAGGATGTTGATCATAGAGTATTTGGTGATAGTAACACCATTGAATGTCAAGGGGCAGTGGTTATACTGTTTCTTATTGGTGATGGTCATAGCCTGGCATTTGTGTGACACAAATGTTACTTGCCACTTGTCAGCCCAAGCCTGGATATTGTTCAGATCTTCTGCGTTTGAACATGAACTGAAGAGTTGCAAAAGGTGCTGAACATTGTGCAATCATCAATGAACATCCCCACCTCTGATCTTACGATGGAGGAAAAGTCATTGATGAAGAAGGTGAAGGTTGGGCCTAGGACTGTACCCTGAGGAACTCCTGCAGAGCTGTCCTGGAGGTGAGATGACTTACCTCCAACAACCACAACCGTCTTCCTTTGTGTCAGGTAATATTCCAACCCAGTGGAGAGCTTGCCGTTTGATACTCATTAATTTCAATTTGTTAGTGCTCCTTGATGCAACAGTCAGTCAAATGCAGCCTTGATGTCAAGGCCTGTCACTCTCACCTCACCTCTGGAATTCAGTTCTTTTGTCCATGTTTGAACCAAGGCTGTAATGAGGTCAGGAGCTGAGTGGCCCTGGCAGAATTCAAACTGGGCATCACTGAGCAGGTGCTGCTTGATAGCACTGTTGATGACACCTGTGGGCAGCATGGTGGCTCAGTGGTTAGCACTGATGCCTCACAGTGCCAGGGACCTGAGTTCAATTCCACCCTTAGTGACTATCTGTGTGGAGTTTGCACATTCTACCCGTGTCTGTGTGGGTTTCCTCCCACAGTCCAAAGATGTGCAGGTTAGGTGAATTGGCCATTCTAAATTGCCCATTGTGTCCAGGGGTGTGTAGGTTAGGTGGATTAGCCATGAGAAATGGAGGGATAGTGTAAGGGATGTGGGGCTGAATGGGATGGTATTCGGAGGGTGGTTGTGAACTCGATGGGATTCTAATATATTCTATTCTAAAACTTTGTATCACTTTACTGATGATTGAGAGTAGACTGACAGGGTGGTAATTGGCTGGCGTGGATTTGTCCTGCTTTTACTTGGGCAATTTTCCACATTGCCGGGTAGATACCAGTGTTGTAACTGTACTGGAACAGCTTGGCTAGGCGTGCAGCAAGTTCTGGAGCACAAGTCTTCAGTACTATTGCCGGAATGTTGCCACGGCCTGTAGCTTTTGCAGTGTCCAGTGTCTCCAACCTTTTCTTGATATCACATGGAATGAATCGAATTGGCTGAAGACTGGTATCAGTAATGCTGTGGAACAATGGAGGAGGCTGAGATGGATCATCCACTCGGCACTTCTGGCTGAAGATTGCTGCAAATGCTTCAGCGTTATCTTTTGCACTGATGTGCTGGGCTCTTCCATCATTGGGGATGGGGATATTTGTGGAGCCTCCTCCTCCAGTGAGTTGTTTAATTGTCCACTACCATTCACGACAGGATGTGGCAGGACTGCAGAGCTTAGATCTGATCTGTTGGTTGTGGGATCGCTTATCTCTGTCTATCACTTGCTGCTTTTGCTGTTTGGTGTACAAGTAGTCCTGTTCAGTAGCTTCACCAGGTTGGTACCTCATTTTTTAGGTGTACCTGGTGCTGCTCCTGGCATGCCCTCCTGCACCCTCCATTGAATCAGAGTTGACCCCTGGTTTGATGGTAATGGTTGAGTGGGGGATGTGCTGGTCCGTGAGGTTACAGATTGTGCTGGAGTACAATCCTGCTGCTGTTGATGGCCCACAGCGCCTCATGGATGCCCTGTCTCGAGTTGCTAGATCTGTGTGAAGTCTGTCCCATTTAGCACAGTGATAGTGCCACACAACATGTGAAAATGGAACTTTATTTCCACAACGACTATGCAGTGGTCACTCTTTGTGATACTGTCATGGGCGGGTGCATCCGCAGCTGGCAGATTGGCATATTATGCAAAGTATTGATTCCAAAATGCTGATTAAACATCCTGGGATTGCGATTATAGTTCGCTGACCATCCCACTCTCAACCCCGCTCTTCATCCATTCCACAGACCACCTTATTGCTGCCTACTGATGGATGGAGACAGCCAGGGAGGCAGTGAGGGTTCAGAGAAACATAGACAATTGGAGCAGGAGTAGGCCATTCAAAGTGATCATGGCTGATCATCCAACTTAGTACCCTGTTCCTGCTTTCTTCCTATACCCTTTGATCCCTTAAGCCTTAAGAACTATATCTAACTTTTCTTTTTGAAAACTTTCAATGTTTTGGCCTCAACCGCTTTTCCATGCCAGGGAATTCCACAGGTTCACCACTCTCTGGGTGAAGACATTTCTCCTCATCCCGTCCTAAATGGCCTACCCCATGTCCTTAAATTGTCATCCTGCTTCTGGATTCCCCGATCATCAGGAACGTCCTTCCCTATGTTTACCCTGTCTAGTCTTGGTAGAATTTATAGATTCATAGCAGATTCCTTCATTCTTCTAAACTCCAATGAGTATAGTCCAAACCGATTGACTCTGCAGTCTCTCTACATCTTGGGTTGGAAGTGCTATGCTGAGCGAACATTCAGCAGGCGCACAATGATGAGGTCAGCTGTTCCATGGCACTGTGGGTCAGGAAGTTGGCACCCACTCCATCGTAGGCACTTACTCGCTGTCCCCCTCCCCCACCCACTTCTCCAGTTGCCACTTCATTTTCCCCCTGAGGTTAAATCGCAAGGAGGTAGAAAGCAGAGGACTAGCAGCGGGGAAAACCCCCATGAAATTTTACAGCCACCGTGCCTGTCAAATTCTCCCCACTCTATTTACCTCATTGATCTTTTTAACATTTTTAAACACCTCAATCAGGTAGTCCCTCAATCTTCTATACGCAAAGGAGTGTAGGTCACATCTATACTCTTTAACCTCACAATTTAACCATCTAAGCCCTCTGCACTCTTTCACTCCATTTTTTAGTAAATCTGATAAGTCACAGGATGTTGGCAGTGCATCAAGTGCTCATTTTTCCTGTACAAGATCAGACAGCAACTGGCAGCTGATGAATTAATCTCGATGTGATTCAAGGTTGAAGGGTCTAGGCCCGAAACGTCAGCTTCCTGCTCCTCTGATGCTGCTTGGCCTGCTGTGTTCATCCAGGTCTACACCTTGTTATCTCAGATTCTCCAGCATCTGCAGT